GCTAACTATAGCACCTGCTCATAGTGGTGGTAGAGTCTCAAAAAGGAGAGAGCCAGAGAGGGGGAGCCCCACATTCTGTGTGTAAACTCCAGTCAGATTTCTGACTGATTATTGAACTACTCGTTTGCTGGAAAACTCCAGGTACCCAGCTAAGGCTAAAGGAACTGAACTAAGATTTCAGAGCTGAGCATTTGTGCTTAGCTAAGTTAACTGCTTTCCAAATCAAAACAAACATCAATATTTTTCAACAGAACATAACAGAATCCAGAGTCTCTACAATGTATCACTCATAATATCCAGGATAAAATCCAAAATTACTAGGCATATGAAGATACATGAAAATGTGACTCAAGAGAAAAGGCAATTGATAGAGCCTGATCCTGGGATGACCCCAATGTTGGAATTTAGCTGACAGCACCTTTGACTGTCTATGCCCAATGATGTAGAAGTGGTATTAGGGAGAAAGAGATATTGACCCTACCTCTTGACTCTGAAGCTCAGTGGAGGTGGCAGAATGAGTGACATTCTTTTGAGAGGATATTAGGGAAAGCTGTGCTCTGGAGAAAGGAACCTATTCTGAGAAAGATTAGAAATAGAGGGAAAGTTTGGACAAGTGATTCATTTATTAAGCAAAAGGGAGCACTTACTATGTGCCAGGCACTGTTTAAGTGCTGGTGTATATCAGTCAACACAGCAGCCCAACTTCTGATCCTGTGGAGCTTACATTCTGTATATGTCCAGGAATTTTGGTCAAAGAGCATCCTGTCCAGGAACATACTTTGGGAAGGGGACATGAAAGCAGAAAAGAAAGAAATCACATGTTATAGCAAGCTAGCTGAAAATAATGACTATTTGAGGGGTCTTCAAAGAATTTATGGAAAGATTCATGTTATCTTTCAATTCCATTTTTCCACAAACTTTTTGAAGTACTGTCATATTTATTGTTGTAGCTAATGATCATTGAATGTTATGTGCCAAGGACTGTGCTGGGTGATCTGCTTGCATTACTTTATTTAATTTTCCCAGCAGCTCTGTGAGATAGGTTTTGTTATTATCTACAATTTACAAGTGAAAAAACTGTGATCACCAACTAGGAAGCTGCAGAACCAACACTGAAATCTAGGTCTCTCTGTTTGCAAAGCTAGATCTTTTAATCACTATGTGATAATTGTAGTCTACATGGAAAGGTGCTGGAAATACTAAGTGGAGCAAGAACAGACTAGTTTCAGAAAAATCAATTCCCATAGAGCTCAATTTGCTAATGACACATTCACCTAACTTTAATCCTTATGTAAATTGCACACTCATTTTTGAGGACAGGATGGGCTCCAAAACGGGTTTGGCCTCTTTTTAGCACTTTGCCTATGTTTGAGAATTACAATAGTTCTGAGCAAGATTTTCAACTCTAGGTCAGCCTTGCTTTTAAGGTAAGTAAAAGACAAGACCTTAAAATCTTGAGAAAATGCACACAAAGCAGTTGGCTCTCCCTGTAATTAAGGGATAAGCAAAGTCAACATTTTATCCCTGTCTGTCTTTATGCCCTTTTCTGCTGATCCCAAGGAAGTGGGGAGAAAGATGTCAGGGGCTGAGAGAGAAACATTGGAAGTATAAAAAAGGCCTCTATCTTTGAACAGCTGTCAGCAGGTAGATATTACTTTACATCATCCACTTCAAGATGTTTGTATGGAGGAAAGTTAAATATTAAAGAATGTGATCATATGAAGGACAAAGAATTAATATCCTTATATATAATAATAGCAGAAAAGACAAACCAGGGTAAAGTTGAGCCAAAGACAGTCACTTCATAGAAGAGGAGATATAAATGGCCTAAACATGTGAAAGATACTTAGCCTCACCAGTAATCAGAGAAATGAAAATTATAATCAAATATTGTTTTGATATCTATCAAGTCAGCAAAATCTAAAAGTGCCTGATATTAGCCAGTGTTGAAGAGGATGGGGTGCAGTGGATACTCTTTTCACTGCTAGTGGGTCTGTAAATTGTGCAATAATTTTGGAAAAGTTTGGCATATTGAGCAAATTGGACTCAATAATCTCCCTTCTAAATTTGTATACTGTGAAGACACTCTTGCAAGTTTGTATCAGAGACATACAAAAATACTGGAAAGAATTCAAAATACCCATCAAGAATAGAATAAATAGGGCCGGCCCGGTGGTGCACTGGAGAGTGTGCCGCTTGGGAGTGCAGCGGCGCTCCCGCCGAGGGTTCAGATCCCATGTGGAGACCGGTTCCCGCTCACTGGCTGAGCGCGGGGCAGGCACAACACCGAGGGTTGCGATCCCATTGCCGGTCCCCGGTACGGGCACGACACCGAGGGTTGCGATCCCGTTACCGGTCAGTAAAAAAGACAAAAAAGGAAAAAAAAAAAGAATAGAATAAATAAATAGACTGTGGTGTTTTGTTTTTTTTTTTTTGTCTTTTTGTCTTTTTCCGTGTCCGGCAACGGATCGCAACCCTCAGTGTCGCGCCTGTACCGGGGACCGGCAATGGGATCGCAACCCTCGGTGTTGTGCCTGCCCCGCGCTCAGCCA